ACTTCCTAACACATTGCATTGCAGTCAGGGAGTGTGTTGAAAAATGATTAGGTGGAGATAGGTGAAGAAATGTGCAATCATATTTCCATAGAAAGCTGAGCTAAATATAAATTGGATGTTACTCATCTACTAAAGCTTTAGGAATCCCTAGAAAGATCTAGGGGATGCTTCTTTTATCACTCCTTTAAGAAGGCTGAGGATGCCCAGGGCTGTATGCTGAGCTCATTTGCCCCATGCCGGAGTGTGGTGCTAAAAGGGGGAGGAACAGAAATAACCTACAGCTGCCAGAGCACCTCTGCCCCATTCAAGCGGTGTGATTGATGGAGGAAAACGCAGGTGGAGGATAGCAGTGAACACTCAGCCTTTCCTCTTGTACTTTTCTCCTTACTGCTGATCTTAAATTTCCAGACTAAATCTTTAGACTAACTTTCTCTCTTCTTTATATCCATTTTCCCATAGGATATCTATACAGGATATAAATGATCACAGTCTTCGCTCAGCTTTACACAGGGTAGAGAAAACACATTCATCTGCTGGTAGTTTTCTTTGGGTGTGTTCTCCCCAGTGAGTGCTGGTGACCCAGCCTTGCAGCATGGTGAAACTAGCTGCCTTTGGAAGCAGCAGAGTAAGTGCATGGGGGTAAGGCTGACTCTCCTTGTTGGCTTGTTAGGTCGCTCCGCTGTTAGACGCTACGCAGTGCTAAACTCACCAGTGCGGTGACCACTTACGCCAAATTTGGAAGTTCTAAAGAAAATACTGCATGAGTGAGTCAGGAATAATGGGGAAGCACTCACATGGATATGCCATCCATCCTTACCTCATTTCAGTGTGAAATAGAGCAGCAATCACAGGTTGATCTCAATGACATTTGTGAATAATTATAATAATTATAATTCATAAGAGCAAATTCTCTGATGCATCAGTAAGACTGGAAGCGCTGCCCTTTCGCAGTCTGTGGCAGAGGACAGTGCTCAGCACCTCTGTGGGTATTCATCAGAATCAGCATGGAACAACACTTGCTATGCTTCGTGCTAGCGCTGCTGTGGTTTGATATGCCCACAAAAATGACTGTGGGGGAAGGAGAGGGCAGTGTGCACACTGAGTTTCATTTTGTATGGAAAGCAATCGAATTTAAGTTTACCAGCCAATAAGAGTACTTTTAATGTTCTGCAGCAAACAAATAAACCACCAGTCCCAGGGACTGGGAGGAGATGATGACTTCCTGTAGCATTGAAAACCTCATGTTCAAAACATGCTGCCCAGATAGGACACCTTTGTACTGAGGGAGACTGAGGCACGCCATGCAATGCTGTTGGTTAGTGAAAGTGCCTGTCAGAGGCCAGCCACTGTGGTTACCGCTGAGATGTTCAGAGAGACTTTTTCCCCCCTGCTGCAGGCTAGCTACAAGCACATTTCCATGACTCCAGCGTGCTCTTGTTCTGCTGCCTGCCCCCAGCTCAGGAGTTGTACTTAAGCTCAGGCCCTTGCCACTGGTCCTCGTCTGAGCTGGGAAGTAGGTATACCTGTGCCTGGCCTGGCCTGACCGTGCCTTGCTGATGTGACTTACTGGCTTGACCTTGGACCTGCCTCGTCACTATGGACTTGTCTGGTGATTGCTGGGCTCTGGCTGACCCTGGCTACCATCGCTGGACCTGCTCTGCTCACCTTGTTTGGGAACTGTGGGCCTGCACCCCTGCTGGCGAGGGTGCTGCCCTCGGCTCACCTGGCAGAGCCTCTGCTTCTGCTGCTCCCTGATGCTGAGCAGCTCAGCCTGCCTTGTTAGCCATGCACGCTCCTTAAACTCCTCAGGGTTTGCTACGCACGGAGCTCAGGGCTGATAAATGCATTCCTGTGGCTGTCATGAGGTTATGGATAATCACACCTTGCTTCGTACCCAACATGAGCAATTTTTCACCAGGTGACTGAGGTATCTCTTGATTTTCATGACTGGGCTGGGGAAGGGGTTCCCAGTGTCTAGGCTGGTTTTGCTTAGGCAATTTTACACACCCCAGTGTGAAATCCTGAAAAAAAATACATGTTTAATTCTGTTCTCCAGCTTTAGCTCACCTCCACCGTTGGTCTGAATTCACTGCAGGATCGAAGGAAAAGATTTGGGTTCATGAGGGAGCAAAGGCCGTAGCTACGCATGGCCGAGTATGGTCATTAACAAGCCAGGTGAGAAGCAGAGAGGCCGTAGAGCGAGGGGAGGGTGAGTTTCTGCAGCCGAAGGAATGTGAGAGCTCGTTTCCACATATCCTTTCTATAATGTCACTGGCTAGAGGAAGGAAGTCAGCGCTGGTCCCATTGCCAGCACCTGTCTGGGAATGCAGCCCCCTGCTCGCACACGAGTGGGTGTCTCTGGGTCCGAGACCCCAGCAGACGAGGAGCAAGGAGCGCTCCCCCCGCCTGGCAGAGGTAAGTGCCTGTTTAACAGGCTGTTTAAATACACAGAAGCAAAACAAGGGGATTGTTTTTTGTGTTAAGGCAAAAGTGAGTTATGAAATGATAATGCATTATATTGAGTATATATAATATGAAATGAGCAAAGCTCTGGCGCCGATTGTCCACAGAGATCGGCCCGTATGCCTGCAGCAAGGATGGGTCAGGCTCGTGCACAGCGCAGAAAGAGCTCCTGTGTCTGTGCATTGGCTTTTGAATAGCGCATGATGATGTAGACTGGTTTTGCTCTTTGCATTTGTCACTTTATTTTGGAGTGAATGAAGGGTAATGCTATGGCACTTGAAATTAAACCTCTTTTCAGATGTTGACAAAGTTTTATAGCGTTAGGGGATTAGGCTACACAGAAGTAGAATGCCCTGATAAATTCTAAGCAACGGAAAGTACAGTGCGGTGGTCA